GGAAGCATTCCATAACCTAATTAATCGATAATTCGTTGAATAGGCGCGAAAATCGAGGATATGGGATGCACGGAGACGTTTAATTAACGACATCGTGGAAACGCGGCAACTCCATTACGCGAATTATTTCGTATCTTTATACGGGACGGATTAATTATTCTGTATTCCGCGTTCACGCGGTTGTGAAAGCTTACTTACTAACCAACGATCATCGCGAAACGCGATGCAACATTCGATGCTAACAGAAGTGAAACGATCTATCCCTAATCGAAGCAATTAAAATGCCGTAGAATCTTTATGGTAACTTAAAGTAGTAAAATGACGTGTTTCGAGTGAAATCATTCGTTCGATATTTATTTAAAAAAAAAGTCCAAACTCAATTTCAGCTTCTCAGTATTTCTGAATGTAATTGTTGGATGTAGAAATTAATTCGACGCCTTTGAAATTGATTGAATTTGAAAGTTCGTGTGTCATAAATCATGTTACATAATTTTTTTATTTGTGGAAATATGTACGGATAATTCTGTAACTACAGGTATAATTGAAGCAAACTTTAAACTCTGCGTCATCATTTTCTTGATTCGAAAGTATTTTAAAAAGTAACTTCTTTTTGATTAAATTTTTGATTAAAGAACTTTTAATAGTAATTTAGATATATCAGGATGACGAGACATAGAAATTTGCACGAATTTGAAAAATTATTATTAAATGAAAAGTTTTTTTAAATGATAAGAACTTTTACACGGTATTTACAAGAAATAATTTTGCACCAGAATGATCTCGAAACCAAAATCCATAAATAAATAGCAAGATTATCTGAAAAAAAGCATCGAATTAATTTCTATATCTAAAATAATTATAAAATAAAGTATTTTATATAAAATCTTTCATTTCATATCTGCACAAAGTGTAAACTTGAACTTTAAATATAACTTCCATAACTTTAAATATAATTGTTGTATAACAATGATTTAATTTGAAAGTAAAAAATAAATTTTGTTTTTTGTAATTCTAATTATGATTGTTACAAAATGAAGTCGCTTCATTTGATATTTGTTTAAAAAAACACAAAATAAATTTTTATTATACACAAGATATTATGCACACTTTTTATCAGATACATTTTATATTAAAGTACAATCATGTTAAATATTGTACAACAATGATTTGATTTGAAATTGTGCGTTGAAAAAACAAGAAATGAATTTGCTCTTCATAATTCTAAATATAATTATTGCTATAAAACAAACTGTTTTTGTATAAAGTTTTTTATTTGATATTTCATTGAAAGAGCACAAACATCTTTCTCTTATATAAATACCATAATTATTGATTTGAAGTTTTATGTTTAAAGTCTGCTCTTAATCTTTATAGAATAATATAAATATAATTATTATAAAATAATGTTTTTCGTGTAAAATTTGTCGTTTAAAAAAGCAAAAACTAAATGTTGATTTTTTACTTTAATTCTAAATATAATTCTTGTAAAATAATACGTATCGTATGAAATCGTTGGTCTGATATTCATTTAAAGAAGCATTAAGTGAATCAATTTAATTTTTCATAATTCTAAAAGGAACTGTTTTAAACTGAAATCTTTAAATGAGAAGAATATTTAGATAAAGAAAGTGTGTGCTGTTGAAAAAAAGTGTTCTTTATTTGATGATCGTTTTGACGCTTTGTTTGAAGTGAACCAGCTCGGTGTAATTTCGTTTGCTCGATTTACTGCAATCTTCTTTCTACGGTGGTGATTCCAATTGTGGTTTCACACGAATCGCTTCCATTTATGGTTCGGCAAACAAAAGGTAGGGTGCAAACAAAATGTACGATTCAACTGTGGTTCACTGATGATTAGAAAAGATTATATTTATAACTAGCTTTATTTTATTCGCATAAGTTCAAGTTTTTCATATTATCGAGTTACATCAACAGACACTCAGTGTCATTTCAATCCATTGTTTTAAATTGCAAAGCTACTCTAAAAAAAATTTTAAATTGGTCATTTTGACATTTGACGCTTTGGATATTAGACGAGTGTATAAATGAGTACGAATTTGTCGAACGATCCGTTCGTTTGGTATAAACGAACCATTAGACCATTAGAACGTCTAAGAGTATCAGTGTCCGTTCAGAAACTGGTTTAACAACAAGGTGTCACCCGAAAACAAAAACCGCCTGAACTCGTGCTCCCGTAACTCTTCCCGTAATGATACGTTGCTCGTCTAATTACCAAGAAGCCAAGAAATTCGAAGGGAAAGGTAAATGGCATCGAGTGATCCCGGTTTCACAAGAATAGTCTATGCTTGCTCCGCTTGCAGTTCTCTGGCTATCGTTGCTCTTTTCAGAAACGTCGATCCGGCATCAATCAGAAGCAGCATGGTGCTCGTTAGTCGTGCATCCATGGCCACGTGAGGCAAAAGTCCAGGAAAGTCGAATCATAAGTCACTGGGTCGAATGACGTTTCGCTTTTAATCCGGATCGATAACGTAGCCATAAAATCGATCTTTTTCTTTCTTTATCTTCTCTTTCTGTTTGTTCTGGCCGAGACGTATCGATTAGAACAGGGGCCTGTCGAATTTCTTACTCCCCCCCAAACCACACGATGTTTGGCTCTTGATGAGCGGCTTTCCCCTCTCCTTTTCTCCTAGGCCTGTCCAACTTCTTCCCCTTCACAAGTTCAGGACTAGATGAACTAGTTTCCCCCTTTTCTTCCAGATTCTAATTGATTTTATCACTGAAAGTGATTTTAGCGGAAATAACCCAGAAAATCGGGCCTCTTCAGGTGCAACGCTAATGCAACGAAAATTAGCAATTGGTTGATTTGGGTCACGTGATTCGTGACGGGGCGTGGGATAGACCTCGAATAGGAGTGGCGTTGTCTGGTAATTTGTTTTGTATCGATTAAAATGTTTGTATATCAATAAAATTTCATGGCAAAAAAGTCGTCTTCATTTCCTAGTCAGAACAGTTGCTTCTGGGCCTTTCAGTGAGACAAATCGTACTGGGGTACAAGTCGTGCAATTTTTTATTCTTGGCTTGATATTGTTCGCATCACAGTTTGGCCCTCGCTGTGTTCGGTGAGACCGAACAATTTCTGCTCTCACGAGAGTATTCTCAGAACTTTGAATTCTGAGAGCAACTCTCCGAGAGCAGTTATATTGTGTCCATTTGCGAATAGGTCGCGACACTTCGACTCTCAGACAGTTGAGCGATGCTCTCGGACAGTAACTCTCAGAACAGTATCCATCTGCGAGAAGTACTCTCGAGAGCAACTCGGGTTTTACTCTCCAGTGGATACCTAGCATTATCGATTCTCCCACCACATACAGAGTAGCTACTACACACACATATGATTAATTTTGTAACTTTGTCGACTTATGGAAAAATACTCTTCTGTACTTCTTTTCATACACAGCGGTGGTCATAAACTTACGTACATTAAATTGTCACGTTCACTAAATTACCAAAAATCGACGACAATTTCGTAACAAGAAATCATATATAACAATGAATCTAAGCTCAGTTTTATCCGTGAGAATACTATTTTCGCAGTCCTGAATTCATTTTTCACAAAGATGTTTTCATCTCGTTATAGTAAAATTGTTTTTCCAATTTACCAATTTAAATGTTTACCAATTTAAATTTATAAATTTGAAGATTGAAGCTTCCTAACAACTTTCTAAAATTTGTTGTATGACTTTTTTTCTTGTCAAGCTGTTGAACTTTTGAAGAATTGAAGGAATTCTACGATTTTGTCGAACTTTCATCATTTTCGAATATAATACCTTGCATGTAAAATAATTACTGTGAAATTTTATGGTCATTTGAGAAGATACTAAAATATCAGATTTTCCACATGACTACAAATGCGTTTTATGGTTCACATTTAGAATGGACGGTAAATCGATAATAAATTTCATTAAGCGAAGGAGACAGATAATGCGACCTATATGGCAATTCTTTCCACGTATTCGAAATGCCACTCTTGTCACCTTTTAAGAGCATTATTACAGAATGGACTCATGTTCACGAATTCATTGTGCAGATCTATTGTGTCACAATGCTCGTACGTAAGTGTATGGCAATCGTGTGTGGGAAAAAGTAGAAAAAGTAGACGCGCCTAAAATAGATTGAATGGTAAAATGATAGAGAGTAGTGGGTGTACACTGTGTGGCGTTAAAATGGGAACAAACGGGATTTCGTAAGAAAGATTGTGAATCGTGTATTGTACAATCGTGTATTGTCCACGTATTGATGTGTAATTATGCCATAAAAATGTAGTTTTGTAACTACATTCTTAGCTATAAACTGTGGTTTATATCTTTTAAATGATGTGGTTTAATTTAAGAGGTAGGTTTGATTTTTGATATTAGAGTCATTCTCTCGTGTAATGTGATTTTTAATAAAAGATATTAATATTCTAGTCGTACATAAAAATGTAATTCGTGACATGTTGGTGCTGTGCAAAATTATATTTATTATTAATTCGTGTCAATATAGTATTGGTATCATGTAAAATTGAATATTAAATTTATGTCAATATATTTGTCATTTACGAAGCACGTTCATGAATTTTAATTTGAAGAGAAAGTTCAGCTTTAATCTTTAGTTGAAATATGGTTTAAGTTAAACAATAATAAAGTACTTTCTTAGTGTATATTATTTTTTATATTCTATTTATCACATAAAAAATATTACAATAGATAGATATACAATTAAAAGACGTATTTTAGTAATTGCAATATATTTTTATCAACAGAAATCATTCGATATTTATTAATTTGCAAAATAACAACGATTATACTTGAATATATGAAATAAAAAAGAATAAAAAGAAATAAAAAAAAAAGTTTGACAGTGGCAGGATTCGAACTCGCGACAGCTGGTAATGCGCCGCTTGCCACGTTTTGGGATAACCTAGTATAAAATAATCGATAATTATCGGAATGCAGTTGCACTCTAATTGTTTATTAGTGCGTGCAAAGAATGCAAAAAAATTTTGTCAGAAGTGGGATTCGAACCCACGCCCTCAGAGAGGACCAGAACGCTCGAAACTCAGTTTTGAACTGAGAAGGTGAATACCTTGAGTCTGGCGCCTTAGACCGCTCGGCCATCCTGACATGTGAGAAAATTTGTTCATTTATGAAATATATCGTCCTATGACATATATGTATGTATGTATATCGTCGACTGTTACAACTATGTAAATATTTACTTTATGAAATTTATTTACACATTTCGATAAAATTAATTTACTATTAAAATATTATATTACCATTTGTTAAAATAATTTGAGATTAAATCATATTTACACTTAACTGATAATTACATTTAATTTTAAATAATTATATTCTTATTTGGTATATAAAATAATATTTATTGTAATGTTTTAGTTACATAATATTGAGAGCTGTCAAATTATTCTTGTTTTACATACCAAGTGTAAATATAATTCTTTAAAGTCTTTAAAGTAGAAATGATATTCAAATAATATTGAAATATTTTTTGCGTGTTTTGTCTATAAATATCTAAATGAATTCGTCATACTCGTTTTCATTCCATTCTTTTTCTTTTCGAACACAGTATCTTACGCAAACTAATCTAATCACGAAATCAATTCGTTGCATCATTCGAGCGATTACGAAATTAGAACGAAAGTATTCGTGTGATTCTTGCTTTATTTACTTTATTTGTAAAATAAGTAAGCCAGTATGTTGATTCGAAAACTCGATTTCACTTCTTCTACGCTGTGCTATTTAACTTCCATGCTGTGTAAAATGTATTTAATGATGGAATTTATTAAAAATAAATAGTAACTAACGTTGGAATTCTAATTGAAATTGTTCTTTTTACAAATGAAGAGGAAAATCAAATAATTTATGTACTTAGATATTATGTAATAATATATGTATATATTATGTAATAAATATATATGCATATATTTTCTCTCTTTTTTTTATTAAGCTTATGAAACTCCAATTGAAATTTATTACATTACTAAAATTAATTACATATTACAAATATAATATTAATATATATATTTATCTATACATTTACTATGCATATAAAATTAATAATATATAGATTAATATATAGATTCGAATAATATATACAAGCAAGTTTAAGCTAATTCCTTATTAAAAAAAACTAGAAAAACATTTTTTTCCTTTGGAGCTTAATTTTCGAGGAGCTCGAATTTGAAAATTCATTCCGTTCATATATGTATAGTTATAATATTGTAAAAAATTATTTTCGTTGACATTACAAATCAAAATACGTTTGTTTTTTAAAAAAGGGGATTATAATAATTTTCTTTTTCTCTTTTGATTATTTTTTTGTCTCTCTCTCTCTCTCTCTCTCTCTCTATATATATATATATATATATATATATATAATACATAAAGAGCTCATGATCTAATATTTTTATTAACCAACATTATTATTCAGAATTTACATATTAAAGCCTAGTGGCGTTTTAAACGTTATTGTTAAAATTTCTTTCGGAATTGTTGCACAAGCAATGAAGTTTCTTTTTTTATCAGAAGAGGAGAGAGGATATGTTATTGCACAATAGAGAAAAATTCTTAAGGCTGACTATCTGGATCCAAAGACCCAAATTTGGCTCTTTTCTTATCTTGGAAAGAAAAAAAAGCATAACGTTATAGACAAAACGAAACGAAGTGAAAGAAAAAGTTAGAGAACACACAAGAAGGTTGTTACAATTCATACACAATTCGTACACGTTCTTCTGGATCTTTAGAGTCACCCGCAACAATAGTGTAGGAGCAGAAGAGGTGTCAGTGACTGTGGTATATCTCGAATTTATTGCACAGGTAGAATCGTCTAGCTTCTTAGAATTCCCATATCTAAACCACAACAACTTCGTGGAAGAAGCGTTTCTCGGATGGAACCTATTTTACGAGGAATCGTTGCATCGCCTAGAAGTTTCGTCGACGCATGTATCTAGTTATATTACTCAACGTCTTACCTAGGGATCTAGGTACGAGGGGGCTCGTAAATCTTCACGAATAATGGAACTACTTGCTAGCGCGAATTCGATGTAAACTATCGTACATAAGTATTCGAGTAGTTTCAAATTACCTATATAAAATATAGTTTTTCAATTTAGGTACAACGAAGTGAACCAATAATAATATCTCTGTCGTTTCCGGCGATGTAAGAAAAATCTTTTCAACAAAAGTAAAGTTTTGTTTTTAAAATAATAGCAGAAGAACATTCGAATGTAACAAAAATACCAATCTTTTGATGGAATTGCAGTAGATATACAATTATTCGCATGATAATACTGCTTCAACGTAGAGAATATTAACTTGGGGAAATGTAAAGGCTCAAACGAGGGAGAGATGTTGAAAAATTAAGGAAGTGGATAATGTAATACTTGTGATTTAGGTGATATGATTTAGAGAAAAGATGAACATAGACGTGAGAAATTTTAGTTTCTAGATTTGTACAGTTTCGTAGATAGCTAAATTTCTAAATTTCCAAATTTCTAGATTTTTAAGCTTCCGTTTGGATTTATAAATCTTTTGGGTTTTAGGTTTCTAGATTTTTAGATCTTATAGATTTTAGATCTTGTAGATTTTTAAATCTCGGAATTTTTAGATTTTTAGATGTCCAAATTTCTTAATATTTAGAAACTTAATATCAGAATTATTCGATTTCTATGTTTGAAGAAAATATGGAAAAATAAAATTTTACAACACGCTTGCTCGAGATTCTTTTGCAAAGACTTTTATCTGATTTTACGAAATAAGTCGAATAATATTAAAATTTCCCTTGATAGGAATAAAATTTTCTTTGATGAAATCCAAGTATGAATTTTGATCAATAATTCGATTTGCCTGTGGAAACTTAAGAACGATACTCTGAATAATTTCTGATGTTAATTACAAACATTGAAATATCGAAATATTGAAACAAAGCTCCGGATATTTAAAGGAAATTTATATTTAGAGGAAGAAATTAATTATTCGTATGATCATAATAATCCAATTATAATAATCCAATCATAATAATCCAATCATAATAATCCAATTTCCTTACTTGCATGTAATCCAATTTTAACGTTTTAACGATCCGACTGCGATGTTTCATCATTCCTAAACGAGAGAACAATCGTCGCGCCATAAAATGATGAAAACGCGTTCATAATCTGCAGGAGGATATCGAAGAAATTAATCCGCCTTGAATTTTTCCACCGCGAGGGACTGGTTTCGCGGATCGATTAAGTCGATTGAAATTTATTATAGCGATACCTTAGATGCAAGTGACGATCCTCTCGAGTGAAAGTGCAACAGACGGAAGAGAAAAAGCGTCGTACCCGGCCTATTTGGAATTACAAGCGCGATAATTAGTCGTGAAAGTGTATCGGTAAAAAGTGTGTCTCGTAACAAAGGAACGCCTTTTCGCGTATTTATAAAGAAGGATAAAAAGAAAAAAAAAAGAAGAAATTAGCTGTCGACGTGTCGCTGAACTTTTCTTCGTTCCCTCGGTTGTGATCGTGTTATCAATCTTCCGATCGAGAGAAATCGCGATGATCGATAGAAAAACTGTGTCTAACCGCATCGATCCGACACGTATTGCAATCTCACGTTGCACTTTTATCCAATTAACTTAACGCGTATTTCATGTTGTCTCCGAGACACCGGTATTACTTTACGCCAGCCACACTGACCCAGATTTCTCTGCGCTTTATATGGATACTCTTTACAAAACCGTATTCCAAGATCCTTCCACGTTGACGCTGAAATTGTCCGTCATTTTCACCAATTTGTCATTCTTTTTCTAGTGGGATTTTTTATTATTATTATTATTATTATTATTATTATTATTATTAGGTAGAAAACGATGCAATTGTCACTTCGGCAGTCTGCGAGTTTCTCGTAGAGATTTTTCAGAATAAATTTAACTGCAGCTTTTTATAAAAATTTTTGTAGATTTGTAAAGGTGAATTTAGTTCGGTGATATTTCGTAGAAATTTTCATAGATTTGTAATCATAATTTTGTACACTTATTTACAAGATTGACTTTAAGTTTTTAGCAGAAATTTTGGAGTATAATTTCACTTCATTCTTTTAATAGAGAGATTAGAATGTAGGTGCACTCAATGTAATTTTTTATAGAAATTTTATAAATTGAGGAAGATTTGGTTCACTACAATTTTTCATAAGAATTCAATCGTAATTTTCCAATAAATAATTTTATTTATTAACACGTGACCCAAATCAACCAATCGCTAATTTTCGTTGCATTAGCGTTGCACCTGAAGAGACCCGATTTTCTGGGTTACCCCTGCTAAAATCACTTTCAGTGATAACAAAAACATATAGATTCTTAAATATCTAGTTAAATATTCAATATATTAAAATTTCATAATCTTTTGTAATATACATCTAATACTTTTTATAAATGAAGTACCTTTTTATGAATGAAGTAACAGTAAGATTTCCACAATTTTTCAGGCTAGATTCTACTGTTCTCTTCAAGTTTACGCGACCCAAATTGAAACTTGTATTAGAGTTAAATGTTATTCGAATTATGATAAATCAGCTAATTATACACAAAGATATGAAAAAATTAAAAAATATGTCTAAATATAAATTATCAAATACTTGGTGATTCGATATATTAAGATGTTATAATTTTTTTGTACTTTGTACCAACGAGATGTTTCGAAATTTGGAAAAGAAGATATTCAAAAGAAGAGCTGCAACCGGAAAAAAGGACCAAAATCGTATCATTGTTCTTCCTTCCTCCGTATCTCTGTCGCAAATCACGCTATCAGATTTCTATCATAATACCTTCCCTAATTCGTTCCCTTCTCGATTACTGGAGAACGTGGATCCCAGTTCTCCAGTTTCGATCTTTCGCCACGGTTCAAGAAACGATTTCGCGCGAATTTATTCGAGCAGGAAACGCGGTGTGGAAAAAAAAGCAGCGTGACCGACGTGGAATGCCGAGATCTGTGGCTGTTTCACGATCAAACGGATGAGAGGATCTGCAGCCTGGAGCTGCGACCAAACGCAACGTATGCAAAGAGATGTTACGCGTCCTAGACTATATCTAGCTGACTGCTTATATACGACGTGAGGTGAACAAA